TCTTTCCTTTTTCCGTTCTCCCGAAACAACCCTTCCTTCAGCCCAAACAAAGGAAAATCAACAGTTTCGAGAGGAGAGTGAGTTCCAATTTCCAGACCGCCACCACTTTTCCTTCCACTTTCCATCCTGAAAAAACCCCCTAAATTACCATCAGCTGTTTTTACGAATTTTTTTGTTATGGTGGGTTCATTGGCTTTACATCCTCTCACTCTCTCTTACTCTCCTTCTTTGCTCACTGAAGAGCACCCGAAAATTTTGTTACTTTTTAATTTCTTCTTGTTTTGTTGCGTTTTCGTCCCAAACAAAGTCATTCACCCAGGCAGGCACCATAACAACAAAATAAGGTAAAATAAAACGCAAAAATAAAGGAAGATGGGGAGGAGGAGCAAAAGCAAAAACAATAACAACAACGGAACAACGGGAACGGAAAAAGTCAACGGCTGAAACGTTGGGGTCACTGCTCACAGTTAGCCCCCCTCTCTACCTCTCCCACTCCCTCGCACTCTCACACCTCTCGGACTGCCCCACTCTCTGGCATCTCCCCCTCTCGCTCTCGTGCAGTGCTCTTAAGAGCGAATTTTTGAAAATACTTATAATGCGTAGTAAAGTCCACCAAAGAATTTCTACACAGCAACAAAATCGCAATATAAATCGGATTAGTGGTTTTAATCGTAAGATAAATATGGAAATAATTTTGTAAGGTTTTATTTTAATTTGTTTTTAATGTTAAAGATGTGGTTAAATATTTAATCAGAAAATTAATCTACTTTCAGAAATATTAATACCCTTTTTATTTTATTATCTTTAATCATAAAGATACCCTCCAAGATACAATGCATAATTTATAATTCTACCCAATACTTATTCCTCAGTGTTTCGACGGTGAAAAGTATATGACCGGTGTCCGCCCCTGAAGGATATGTTCATTAAAACTCATTGAAAAAATAAATAAAAACAGGCAAGCCAACAAAGGAGGCAACCGTTCTTTTGCCTTCTTATTTCTTATCGGAAACAAAATGTGATATACGACCCTGAATCGTAATGCAATAACCCCAGGGAACTGAAAACTGGGACTGGAATCTGAGATAGTACAACCAGAAGGAAGCATACTACACGTACACCTTATCAGGGGTTTTCGGTTTCTGGTTCGGTTTCGGTTTTTGGAACGGGTTATCTCGGGGCTCCCGCATAACCGTCTGCCCCAAATACAAAAATAATAATAAATGAAACATTGAAAGTTGTTACAAAACCAAAATAAATATAATTTAGGTTAAGATAAGCCTGCTGCTGTTTTCTAGGTTTCTTTCCTTATCGTGTGGAAGTTCAAGTAAAGACATGGGGGATGGAGGCTACACATAACACTTATGGCTTCATTAAACCATAAAAAAAAAGCGCACGGAGACGCAATTATTGGGGGTTTAAGTTTGTTCTTCCCTTTGGGGTTGACTGATTTTAACGATATATTTATTAGGGGAAAACAAGAATTTCTTTGAAATTGGATTTTAGGGCTTAGAAAAGTTCATAAGAGTATTATTTACTTGTAATAAAGGCTAGAGTTATCTTCACTAAATTCTGAAAATCGAATGAAATTATTAGTATACTAGGAAACCAGCGTTTACTATTGCTGATTAAAATATATATTCCAATTTCGCCTGAATATGGTGAAATATGTACATATATGCATAAGGGAGTATTATGATTCAAGCGGAAACTGGAAAATGCGGGCTGGTCATTTGTATAAATGAAATCTTTTTTTGATCACCAGCAATCCAAATATCATGAGACAGATTTGTGGCCAACAATTGGCCAATTTACATAGGCATTTTCTCAACAGAGTAATCATTACATGATGGGATTTTTGTTCTGTATTTTATTTTTATTGCGTCTTCTCTAGGAAGCCGAATATAATTTGAATTTTCTTTGTAAATTTTCTGTTGGTAAATTTTGTTTATTTTAGACGAAATAACTCGGACACACAGGCCTTTGAATACGTAACTTGGCAATGAAAATATTCAGATTTGTTTTCTTTATTTTTAAAGCATATTAAAATTTTGATGCCTAATTTAAACGTAGTAGTATTAGCTAATAGTCAAAATAATAATTGGAAAGAATATGTTAAAAACTGATATTAAAAACAATGGTTTTTAGTAAATTTAAATATACATCTTTCCTTTTAATTGCCTTATGATTTAACTATTTCTCCCGATCCTTATATCAAAACGCTTAACTCCTGAACTACAGAGTGTTTCTTCTTCCCTTTTACTCTACCCACTTCATCTTTCGCTGCCGTTTAATGATGGCTGCAAGCGAATGATGGGGGAAATGACGGGACACCGACAACAACCGTTAGCCCGTCAGGTACAGGTACAGTGGAACACCTTTAATCCGTCTGCCATTGCACAGAATGCAGACTTTTGCCAAGATTTTCGCTTTGTAATGCGCACTTGGCAGCGAAATTGCGACGACCGCAGCATTTACAGCTAATTGCATAAGCAATAAGCAGAAAGCAGTCCGTTTTTGTGCTATCGTTTAAACAAATCAATGCAAAGATTAAATCAATATGGATGAGAGCCACTCAGAACTGTCGACCGTATTTATGTCGTTTTCTTTGTTGTCTCGTTTTCTTCTGCGCAAAAAAAGGAATAGGAAGCGAAATGAGACGAGAATTTCAAGGATACAGCAAAGTCGGCGCTAACAGTTTTTTTGTCTCCTTTGGCGCTCTCTCTCTCTCACTCTCTTGCTCACAGCTGATTAAGAAGGCGGGGGTGGAAAGGGGAAGCCAGAAGAGACAACAATAAATACTGAAGCGAAAGCAATGGAACGTGAATTGAAATCATTTACTTTGACCATAAACAGAAAATCAACGAATAACGCGCACAAATACACACACAGATCTAAGCACATACAAAACAAGCACAGAAAGAAATGTAATTGGAATATTTGTTTCCTTAAAAAGCACACCCCTTCGTTTTATAAATAACGAACGAGCTTTAAAACCTTTTTCTCAAATGCCGTTAAACGTCTTAATGCTTTCGCCCAGTGCATCCGTCCAATACATAAGGTATCGACTTGGCTGCTTTGTTTACATAATGCCCGCATTTCCAGTTTAAAGATCCGCTTCAAAGGCAGCGTCTTCTAACGAAAGACGATTTTAAAACTGATGAAATATCACAAATACAGCCCCGAGCGCGCATAAAGTTCAAAGCAATTAAAACGCAAGCTTGTCGATTTGGTTTTATTTTGTGCGAAACCCGAAGATGACACCGAGAAGGAGAGTGCAATAAAAATGGCCGACTTGACTTACCTTCTTTCTCTTCGCAGCGGAAGATCGTTAAAAGGCACAAAATTTCGGCTCAGAGCAGCGGCAATTTGTTGTTGTGTCGCTAATTCCAATTAATTTGACATTTTTGCTGTTTATTTGCTGGCTTGGGCTGCAAATATTATTGATTTCACTTGCTGTTGCTTGCTGACTTTACAACACACACTCGCACACCCTGTCGCACACAGGGACCTGCCTGCGGCTGCTGCTCCGCTTTTGCGGGTGAAAAAACGGTTCTTTTTCGCTATTTTCGCCTGCACCCTGCTCTTTGCTCGTCGCTCTTTGCTCTATCCACTCTCCACACCGCCGTTTATCCTTCGTTGCTCTTTCTATTTACCCGAATTGATCGTTCTCAACTTGGACGCCATTTCGCCAGTGGCGAAAAAATCGGTGGAAATGCCAGCACAGTTGGAATAAGTGCACTGCTGCAGCCGAAGATGGCGTGGAAAAACGGGAAAAGCCGCGCCTACACTTTCATTGGCATCATCATCGCGTTGCGTTTTCGCCGCGGCTTTAGAGATTCGCATAGTTTTCACTTTATTATCGCGCACAACGGGCCTGCTAAAATTAATTGTTTGTTTTTTAGTTTTCGTTTTTTCGTCTCCAACAACACACAGTAGGTTAGACTGTGAGACCAGACCAGCTGTGGGCGTGCCAGTGTGGCAGTACTGCGTTGTGGTGGAAATCCCAACTGCGTGTCGGCATTAATGCTGTATGACACGGAACTAGTTCGGAAGTTATATTTTGAATATTTTAATATTTAATTAAAATATTAGATTTGCAGAATATAAATAAAAATTAATATCTATAAAATATTATGTTGTTATGCTAGAAATGTATTTTAAAGCAAACCAATTTGGAAAACAAGTTAAGTTTACCACAAAACTTTATGAAATATATTTTAAAATTTATCTATCTAATACTAAATATTATAAAATAAATATTTTAATTCAAAAATCGATAAATTAAAAACTTCTTATAACCCCCCTTTAAAAAAAATAAAACACTCGACCCTCTTGATATTTAAAATATTATTTATGTTAAACGTTTCTCAGTTTTAAAATGTCATATTTCTCTTTTGTTTATTCTTTTAGTCATATTAAATTTTGTTAATTTCCGAGTGATTTATTTTGTGTATTACTTCTTGTTTGCAAAACTACACACGTACAGATGATGTAAATATATAAGTCTGCATTGTAAAGCCTTTATGTAATACATATACATAATATATATATAGGTGTATATAATATTTATTTCTCCTTTTTAAATGTAAATTTTATTGAACCAAATGTTATTTTTTTTTGTGTGTGTGGTACGGAACTTTCCATATACATATATATATACTTTCGGCTTTTGTTTTTTAACTCTAACTCTAAATTAATACATATCAGTTGTGATTTTTTAGTTGATTTTGTTTGTTAAATAGTTTTTAAAACAAAGTTTGAAACACACTACAAGAGACAGATATAAAGATCCGTTAAAATACGCAACTTACAACTCTTGTTGAATTTTTTTTTTTAATTTAATTTTTCTGTGTAAATACGACTTTGACTTTTTGTTTTGGTTTTTTATTTTTTGTTTCTAGGAAAATATATGGTAGATATATGTTTTTTTGTTTGTATGACACCATTTACTTAGCTTAACTTTTTAGAGAGGATAAAAAATAAATCAGGAAAATATCTCATCTGGCATCATTTGTTTGCGTTTATTGTGCTTATCTGTGTTTTGGGAGTGGTTCCTAGGATTAAGTGAGCATCGGAATGGGTTAAGAGCTACATCCCCAGCTCACAGCTCGGGTTCGGTTCGATCTTTTGAGGATTTGGGCATATACATAGTTCAGAGGGGAAACCTTCGGTTGTGGAAATCGATAATCCAAGCGTATAATTAAACTAAACTAATTAGTAGTGTGTTGTTTACCCAAACTGTGAGCTAAGGAACCCTTATATTTCACATTTTTACAAAATATATATAGACTTTATGCACCAGAAGTGCCACCAGAAAACCCTAAAGCTGTTGAAATCCATTGGAAATGTGTGCTTTAACTTATTTAATTTTATTATTTATTTTTTAATCTTGCTTTCTTTCATTTCAAAGGATTTTACAATCAATAGAGCTTCCCTTGACCTTCCTGAATTTCTAAGTAAGAATGGTTGTTTCTATATCGATTTATTTAGTTATTTTGATGTGTGGGTAGGGCAGACGATGATCTATTTGTTTGTTCGTTGTGTAATATACATGGCTATACATACAGAATAATGCTAATTTGCTGAACATATTTTCTGCTGGCACTAGACTTGACATATATATATATATTGAAGAAAGCAGGACAGAAATCGCTTCTGAAAAGTAACAAAACATAATTTTAAATAATTATTCATATTTTATATCTCCTAGCGCGATTTCTGTGGCTTTCCTGTTATGTTTTGTGTAATTATGTGAACGCTTTGTGGTTCTATCGACATGTTCCGGAGTGAGTGATAAAATCCCTTCCTAATCCAGATGTTTTTTCAATAATTTAGTTTATAATTTAGCAAACATTTAATACAGGCGCATGCGAGTGACGAAAAATAGAGTTTAAAACTAAGCGCATTGAAAAAGAGATGCCACAGAAAAAGCTAAAGATTTAAAAATAACTTAAAAACTTTTGTAAATAAAATATTTAAATTAATTTTCGTTCATACTTTTAAAGTCTCCCAGCAATTTCTATGGCATCTCTGTACAATTACATTTCGCTAAGGCTAGACACAGAACATTCAGCGGAACGACCTGAAGCTGATAGATATACATACATATATATAGTTATATATACAAGGGGCTATTATATTATTAAGCTAGCAATTCGTCGGGCTGCAAGTTAATAACAAATAAACACAGAGCTCTTAGGGTGAGAGGGGACACGCTAATACACAGATTTCACAAAACTGAGGGGTCTTCTAGTTAACATAGTAGCAATATTAAATAAAATAATCACAATTTGATGCTGGTTTTCGTCGCAAGTTTTTACAAAACTTGCTCTCAAAAAACTAAAACTAAGATTAGGTTTTGCGTTTTAATGCCGCTGCTGCTGTTGCATCGCCGCATCGAGCAGTCCTAGCATATGCATGCAGATCATCGAAACGATGGTCAAACTGAACACCATGGCAAACATGACGATGCACACCGGCCACCAGCATCAGTCAGTTGCTGTCTTGCGCATTATCTTTCTGGCAAAGCCAATGGCCGTATCTCAGAGAATCTCACAGCAGCGGCAATACCGCGGTCGATGTCCACTGGTAACCGCCGGCGGTGTTCCGGGTGCAAAATAGGCGTGCACCTTGATATTTGGTAGATGGTTCTGAAAAATACAATACAAAATGAATCTATTTGTTCAGTTATCCTTAAAGTTTATGCTTATACTTTAAGCTTTCTTATGGCGGTGCGGGTGATGAGCTGACAATCGAATAGCTCGATACGCTGCAGATTGTGGCAGGACACCAAATGCTCCAGCGTTCGGTCTGTGATCAATGGGCAGTTGTCCAGCTCGAGCACAGACAGAATCTCAGCGGCACAGCTGCCGGTGGTGAGGTGCCTTATGCCATCGTCCGTGATGAGCTCACAGTGGGAAAGGGTCTAAAATAAATATATATATATATATATATAAATGTATTTCTTATAAATTTTATAGAGTTAGCTTTACTAGTTTCTCCAAACTGGGACACCCGGTGGCAAGATGGGCCAGCGTTAGGTCTGTAATCTGGCTGCACTCTTCCAAATCCATTCGCTCCAGATATTTGCAGTTACGCCCCAGCGCCTGGAAGCCAATATCCGTGAAATTGCGGCAACCGGACACCTCCAAGGTGTTTAGCTGATGATTGTGCTGCGATAGCGACATGAGCGAGAGATCGGTGAGATCCGCGCATTTGGACACGCACAGTTTTTGGAGCTTGTGGCAATTTGCAGCCAATTGCCGGATCGATGAGTCGCTGATGGTCTGCAAAATTAAGCTGTAAATAATTTTCTATAAAGTATATTAAATTTATTTATACACACCTCACAGCTATGTAGATTTAGCACCATTAAATCGGGACAGTATTTGGCCAGGCACATTATGGCATTGTCATTTATCTGTTTACAACCTTTACTGCTAAATTTTCGCAGCTTGACGCAGCCGCGGGCCAGCGCTTCGACGCCATTTTCGGAGATCAAATGGCACCAGGACACGTTGATCTCCATGAGGTTCTAAGGGTATATAGCCTGGATATAGTTATGTTTCATGACTAGAAAAAAATAAACATACGGGACAGCCATCGGATAAATATTTTAAGCTGTTGTCGGTTATGTTGGAGCACGAATCCAAATTAATGGCCGTTAATTTGGAACAATATCTGCTGATGGACTGTGTGGATATATCGGTTATCTTCTTGCATTCGGACAGGTCCAAGTGTTCGATATTGTGGCAGTGATTCGCTAGAGTTCTGTATAGATATAGAGGGTTTTATTAAAAGGGTAAAAATATGGTTAGAAAGGTGGTTAGATACTCACCTCACGGACTGATCTCCCACTGACTGACAGCCACGCAGCGATAGTGACTTGAGGAATCCGCGGCATCGCTGCGATATATTCTCAATCACTGGGCCCTAATTTTGGAAGTAAAATATTATGTTTAGTACATTAATATAATATAATTATGTTTATATTATATTTAGTAAATTAAAAAAAAAATACTTTCCACAACCAAAAATCTGTTAAAATTATGCTTTATGTTATTATTATTTTACATTTTTAAACGAGATTCTGTGTTAAATGATATTGATTTCAAATCATTTTCACTTTTTATACCTCAAAATTTCAAGAACTGCAAAATTTCCCTTTCAGAACTCACCTCTATATCACGTTGAAAGTCGAATAAATTGATTTTCTGCCAGCTAGAACCATCGAGGGCCAGCACATTCCAATATTTGCATACCTGGAAAGCAGCGCAATGAAAAATTCATTAGTCCAAGAACGCATATATGGGGGGTCTACTAAGACCACTAAGACTTCGAAACTAGTATCCAGCTGAGAAGCAGAAGCAAGTTTAGTTCATTTACCTGTGCACAGCGACATAGTGACACCACATCTAGGTAGGAGAAGACGCGCAGCAGTACCTCCTTTGGCAGTTGTTTGATTAACTCATCGTCCAGTTCGGTGGCGCCCAGGAATGTTTGCTGTAACGGTAACGGAGCATACATGGCGTATAAGCGATGGCAACTGAAATGCTTTTGCAACTGAGTGATCGTTTTCTAATTGAAAATGTGATGGCTAAATAATATTATTAACTGGAATGCCTCGGCAAGTGGTGCGCCCCCGAAAAAAACAGAAATATGTATAAGAAATAGCTTTAATGAAAACCAATAGATCGAATTGAATAAATACGAGTCTGGGGAACAAAACAAACTAATTGATGGAGGGGAGGAATCTCGAAAAGACTAGAGAGCGAAAAGGAGGAGCTTGAGTTACTTTTTTTCTTGGCTTTTGGGTTAATTTGATTTGGTTTTGGTGTCTTTATGTACAGTATGCTGGTTGGATCAGGCATGATATCATATCATAAATGGTCAGCGAAGGTGGTGGCATTATGATCTTTTTAGAGGGTTTTCCCTTTTATTTTCTTACTGCCTGTTCTTCAAGCTCGAGCGTAAGGTTGCCCAGTGTCCTTTGCTGCTCCTCGGAGGAGCTCATCGAGGAACTATCGCTGCCGCTGCTGCTGCTTGTCTCCAGTGTTTTAGGATTAAGATTTGCATTTGGCAAGGGATTAATTACAGGTGTGGCACTGCCAAATGTTGCCGTACGCCAAATGCTGTTGCAAATGCCACTGATGATGTTGCTGCTGCTGTGATTATTGTTGCTGCTGCTGTTAGTGTGAACTGGATTGCTAATGCTGTAATTCCTGTTGCTGTTTATGTTGCTATTACCATTTATTTGTAAGCTCTGTTGTTGGTGATTATTATTATTATTATTATTGTTGTTGTGGTTGCTCTCACTGCAGGCTGTACTGTGCGTGCCGCTGGTACCGCTGCTGCTGCTAAAGCTGGCACTGCCACTGATACTGCTACTGCCACTCGGTGGCAACAATAGCTCAATGCTGCCACTGGCGCCGGAGCTATTGACACCGCCAACGCCACTGCCTCCTCCTCCTCCGCTGCTGCCTCCCTCACCGCCGCCGCCATTGCTGCTGCTGCTGGCAAACATGCCGCTGAATTTTATCAGTTTAGTTTATTTTATTTTTATTGTTTTTTCTGATTCAATTAACTCTTCTTTTTCCGCTGTCTCTCTGTTTTTGGCGCAAAGTGAATGCACGATTAAAATATTCACAAATTGCGTTCTTCCAAAAGCGTTGCTCCCTCACGCTTTTTTTTTTATTTATATATTTTTTTATTTTCGATTAAATCACTTTTTGCAGCAGGAACTGGTTGAATATAAAGAAAGAATATACTTGGAAAAATAGTACAACATTCGGTGGAATTTATAACGTATCTAAACAGAGGAATAGAGGGTTTCTTTTTGGGACAACCAAGGTCTTTGTGGCCTTAATTGAAATGCGCAGCCAAAACTTTAAGCTCTTTTTCGTGGGAGACGGGACCAGACACCATACACACCCCTTTAAATGAACACACACACTACTGATTGTGTTGTGGCATTCAACCTAAATGAAAAGTCATCAGTGGCAATTTAAAAAAGGCAATCGATCGAACGTGTGACGAATTTGAGGGAGCGAAGACCGCGCGAACCAGAAATAAGTGTGTATAATAAATAATAATGACAATAACACAAGATTGAATTGATAACTAAAGGGTATTGTTTACTTTTTAAAGAGGGTATAACAGAGTTTTTAACAGGGTTTGTTTTTAAGTTTAAAGATTTAATTTCTTATTATACAAAATGTTCACAATTATTAATAAAATGAAGTAATATAAATTCCAAAACTAATATAACTTATTTTTTAAAAAAGAATACAACTTTAAATTTCAATTTCCAAGCTTTTATAATCTTTAAAAATTAAAGGAAAAATATATAATAATATATGAAGAACTTAAACCTTAACATATCTCACAAACCAGGGAATAAAAGGCTCTTCACTCTACAAAAAACTATTCTTTCTTCTTTCTGAAGTGACTTTAAGTGGCATAACAATGACATGAGCAAAGATGTATTACATATCAGTTATTAAATTGTTATTTCCACAATTGTAGAACAAGAAAAACACAAAGAGAAGAAAAAACAACATGCATATGTATGAGAATCAAATACAGCTCATTGAAGGTCCAATGAATTATTGATTTGCTGGCCTGATCGCAAAACAGAAATAGGAGTTGACCATATAGAATATGGAATATATATATAGTTTTCTATTAAACTAGAGCAGGGTTGGACACTGAACTTTAAGGTCGGAGCCCGATAAGGAAAACTGATAAAAAAAACTCTTAAAGTCATAAATATTTAAAAAATAGGGGAGCTAAGATAAGAGAAAATATAAAGCTATTCATGCAGGCAAGTGTAAGTTTTGATTTGGTAATTATCGAAGTTTGAGAGTGTACAGATTTTGTATTTATAAACCTGAATCAGAAGGAATAAGAGAGTAGAGCCAAGCAAAAATTAAGATATTAATAAAATAAAATATCAGACGAGTTTTACTTTGGTAATCCTGAATTAGATTAAATAAAGGAATAAAGCTTAGGGAAATCAAAAGATTTGTAAAGGTCTGTATATTTGTTTAGGTTATTGTAATCCCAAAAACCTGACGATGTATACTTTTTCCCATTTATAACCCTAAAATCACAATTTTTCCTTCTAAAATCCTCCTCCTCTAGAACCTAGAGCAACATGCTAAATCTATTAAAAATGTAAACACAAGAAAAGAACACTCAAAGTGACCTGGTATTTCGCTTTTATCTTTCACACGTACTTTATGCAAATTCCAAGCCATGCACAGCTGAGACCTCAAAAAAGAGTGAGTTTCAATTCGCTTTAAGTGGAATGGAAGCGACAAGTGCAAGGCATTTCTCACTTTGATTGCTAGCTGCGTTTTGCATAGTTTATTATTTATTTGATCATGCAACACATGGCGTATACGTAACACTAAACAGCTGACATATAAAAGGAAAGGAGAAAGGGAAAATCAGAAGGGGGTTGGGGAAAAGCGTGTGCGTGTTGGAGGGAAAAAAGAGTAAACAAATTATAAATTCCCATATACTTTCTTGAAAGCGACCTCGAGCTTAAGGAAAAAAAAGGGGAAAATGTATACATATATCTTTGTATATATATTGAGTGAGATATATTGAGAGACAACCAATCTGTGCTGCATTTTATATAAGCCATGACCGGGTCAGGCCTTTGATAGCAGCCACTGATAGACAAGCTTTGCTCCTGCTATATATTCACCATATACACATACTATATATCATGTATATATCACAGCACATAGGCAAGGTCAGGCGCTTGAGGAAAAACTGGGTCAGCATCCGAAATTGGGTTGCACTCAATGCTATGTTTTCACTTATGAATATAGACAAGCACAGGGAAAAAACGCATAGGAGGAAAATTCATAAAGAAAACCCAATCAGCAAAACACACACGCAGCAACATAAAACAGCTGATGACACACCAGGGAAACCAGGGAAAAAACAGGCGGAAAAGTCCAAAACAAGAGCTGGAAACACTGAAAACATCACCAAAAACACATTGCAACCCAATCACACACACACACACTTTGAGATACATTTTATTTTTCCAGCTACTTGCATTACCATTTGTTTAGTTTTTTGTATTTTCAACCGAACTCCTCCTTGTTGCTGAGCTGTGACGATTAATTGCATGAGGGAAAATGGATTTTCCGTCGCCTTTTGCCTAGGAAAAACCGTGTGAAAAGTGAGGGCAAAAAAACACGCAGGAGAGCCGACGATTTTCCCGAGACACCATCGATGACAACAGAGCGCAGAATGTGAACTGAGGAACGGAGAATCGAGTATGGAGAATTCCGAGCTTGAAAAAACAGCTGAGCGAAGCTCGCTCTCTCTCTGTGTAATTTTTCCCTTTTCGGAAAATGCATCTCTCAGAGCGAAAAAGAGAGAGCAAGCATGGCATTGCACCCACAAAATCAACCAACAAAGGCAGACGACACACACAAGCAACAAAGAAAAAAAAACTGGCTAAAAAGTCTCAATGAGAGCGAGTCTGAAACACTGTTCAAACAAAAAAGAATAAACCCCAAGAACTTTAGATGCCCTTGCTGAAAAGTCACTTGAACTTTTAAGCAGGGTTAAATCGGAAAATTAACACAAAAATGCCTAGCAAAGTCTTACTTTTGTGACCAAAAGTGTCTTTGGGTTTTTACAAATTTTTAATTCTAGGTATTCGTATCGAAAATATCCTAAATTTTGAAATATCAAAATTTTAAATATTTCAAAATTCGCATTTAATGTTAAAATATTTTAGGTATTATCGAAATATATTTAAAAAATTTTATTCAATCTGATTATATTTACCAGAAAGATTATTATATCATAAAACGTAGGCGCCAAAAAAAAATGGCTAGATCAGGTCGTCTGTTATGCTTGTCAAGAATAAATAAAAATTACAAAAATATGAATTTTTAAAAATTGTATTCATTTTAAAAGGAAGTATTAAAACCTTTATCCTTATAATAAAATTATAACAATTTCTTAGCAACTGCATACATAATTAAAATTTAATTTAATTAAAAACATATCTAATTTACCATCAATTTTTTCCCACACTAAACTCCTCTCTTTTAGGGTATCCCCAATATGAACTGTAAATACCAAACTAATACATAAATCTCTCTCATTCTCATCCTCATCCCCCCAATATTGTAAATCTCTCCCCCACTTGAAAATTCCCCCATATATCTCTCTTTTGTGGTAAAATCTGCATGAGTTGCAGCAATGCAGCCAGACATTTTCACAGTGTTGCCGCCGTTGCCGTCAGCTGTTTATCGGGACAATCTGTTTACTTTCGTTTGTTATTGGCTTTCGCTCTCCAAAGGCGAAGATAAGTTAAGAACTCTTAATACCAAGTACCAAGAATGGACAATCAATAAGACGCCAAAAATAAATAAGCAAATCGGTATGTGTAATTAAAGCTTAAAGAAGAACGCAATTAAAACGAGTCATCTTTGTCATTTCCTTATTATTTTTTTATGCGCCAATTAACACAAGAGCCAGTCTGGTGCCAAAAATATAAGAATTATATCATTTTTGGTTATGAGAATAAGATTTAAGCTTATTAATTACAATTAATCAGGTATAAAGTTAAGCAGGTTTTTTTAAATGGAAAAACTTAGGGAAAAGAAATGTACATTACATTACATAAATGTAAAAAATCCATTTAGATTTTCAACATATATTCCTCTCAGTACCCTCATACAAATTGCTTAAATTTCAGCTCATTGAGCTCGCTTCTCTGTTTGCTTATTTACTTTGGCATTCATTGTGTGCACATTGCACTTGGTTGGCGAAGAATTTCCAATTTGTCAGAAGTCCTCCTCACTTCGCAACTGGTCATTATACGCTCTTGGAGGGAGCTTTAGGGGGTTAATGCTTGGGGGTGTGAATGCGCTGGGCTGTCAGCGAGTTTATTGCACTTTTGTCGCAAGACAAACATATAATTTTTTGCGTCGGAAGTGTGAGAGACCCACCATCGCCGGCCACTTACACTTTTACAAGCAAACTCCCTTCGCAAAAGGCGATGACTCCTGTGTTCAACGTCCTCGGGTGTAGATTCCTTGTTCCTGACTTCAAAGAAAGGACAAAGAACCCGCCTTTGCCATAAAACCAACGAGTGGCAAGTCTATTTGAGCTTTGGAGAAGTGAGAAGTGGAAGTAGAAGTGGCTGACTAACTGTCTGGATGGCCAAATAATCAAAAGAGCAATACAGCAGGTCTGGAGTTTTTAAGAAATTAAAGGGAAAAGCGCTATTAACTTGAGCTAATTAAATTCTGTCAGTTTCAGGCTTGGAATCTTTAATTCAGGGATTATTTAAGCTTGCTTACAATTTAAAATACCAATTGAAGTGGGAAAGTCAAAACCGAATAGCTCTTGAACCTTCAAGCCAAGCTGTCCTAGCTCTATTACTTTATATTAAAATTTACCTAAAACTTCTTGGTATTTATAATTCTTAAATGATTTTGCATAGTTAAGCTTAACCTTAAGTGCAAGTAAAATATTGTTCAAGGGCTTTGCTTATAAATTAATCAGCATAATTTATTGCTTATTTTCTGAGATAACTTATCTGTAAATTCCAAAACCTCTTGAGACTTCAGACTTCTACAGATAAAAGCCCAATGAAGCAAATACTAAATCTGTATACGTATGTACTTATAGTAAGCAATCGGAATCGAGCCATATAACCATATATAAATTCTCATATGGAAGAAAGCATTCAAAGATTTTTTAAATGAAAACTTCAGAAGAACTAAAGAAATTTGATAAAATAATTATCTTAAGGATCAGCATATTTAATCTACATTATATATTATATTATATTTTTTAAATATCCTTTATACGTATAAAAAGGGTTACTTTATTAGTAAGTATTTTGTAGAAGAATGAGGGAAAACACCATAGATCAGACTATTCCAGAGGAGGCAACCTGCTATAAAAATGTTAAAATTCCTTAGATAAACCTCATTAAACTAAGAAGTTTAATTTTTAAAAATCAAATACGATGTCAAGACACTCGAGAAGAAACCAGAAAACATTTAGACCATCAGATAAATTTCTAAAAAAGTATTTCACCCTATCTTAAAATGTTTTTCCATTTTAAATCCAAATAAATACATTTTCAAACTTCCCGAAATATTCTTAAAGTAAAAACCCCAACATTCTTAATTACTTACATCGAATCGATGATGATTGCGTCCAGAATTGGTCATTTTACGCGTGGATAATGCTTATATATCCAGAAATGCAGCAGCAGCTCCCGAGTTCCAGCTCCCCCGCCTCTGATGCTTTCCCTTTCGCTCTCGATGGCGTTCTTGCGCTGCTCCCACACTCGCCGCCGTTCGTTGTTCTTTGTTGTTTTGCCCCCACACACAACCGCCGCTCTCTTTGTGCGCTCCGCAAATGCGTGTGTGTGTGAGCAGGAAATTATGCGTCGTGCTATTGTTGTTCTTCTTCCTCTTGCCTCGTTCGTTCTTGTTGTTGCTTTTGCTGCTGCTGGTAGTTCTTTGTTCTGATTGCGTTGTAATTGTTGATTGCACTTGGTTCTTGTTTTTGTTTTAAGTAGAGAGAGTAATGGTAATCGGCGCGTTTATTAGTATTGGTGCCTTGCCTACATCACGAGAGATTTACTTTACCATTAAACTGCATATCAATGCAGCTCCCCCGTTTGGCAATATAAAAACAACAAAAGGCTGCAACTCAATTCGCTGCGTAATGCGTAAATAGGTTTTTCCCGTTCTTGCATCTTTTTCGTTCCGTTTGCTTTTTTTTTCTATAGCTGACACTATTTCCCTATGCCGAGCTTCGCCTGCGAGTTTTCTTTTAGCTCCGTTTTTTATGTAATTGCGATTTTCGCCGTGGAAATAGTATATTGCAAAATATTGCACCGACGAAAAGAGAGAGCACAAAAACACAAAAAAACTAAGCGTGACCGTATGGAAGTAAGCAAAAAAATACCATAAATATCGGGGAAAACAGCCGTTAGACTTAGTGAGGCGAGACTGGGATGCTGAGCTGAACTTATAAAATTAATTAAATAAAACGTGATTTCAGGGGGATTACACAGTTCAAAAATGGCTTAAAATATGTTATTTATAATTTATTGGAAATAGTTCCAGAACTGGTTCCATCACTGACACTTATTCCAACGATCTGGCAGCCCCGTCAGCTGTTGATGTTATAATTTCCGCACGCCGGATTTCGTGTTTTGCCTGCTAAATTTCTCTTTAAAATTAACTAAAGCGGCTTCAACTAAAAACAAAATGTGGCCAATAGTTATGGCTCTTCTTAGGCGTAATGCCGTCTACATCACTCTACCCATAGCCGGCGTGGTTGGCTTCATTGGCTATAATTTGGAGAGTTTGTTATCGGACAAGTACACACCATACAGCCGTGAGTTTTTTTGGAGAGCCCCAAAAACTAACTATCAAGAAATAACTGGTTTTCTTGTAATTCCCCTTTCCACCATGGCAGCCTCCATTCAGGAAATGCGCGCTAAGCGTTTGACCGAAGAATCTTTGAACTCGAATGCCGCCAATGTAGAGAAGTTATGGCTCAGCAGTCCTGTGCTCGAACGCAATCTCTCGCCCTCGCTGCAGCCGAAGAACTGAACGTTATCTTTATAACCTACAAATGTGTGATACCGAAAATAGACAAAGTTGTTATCAATAAAAAAGGATGTAAAAAAAAGTACTTGGAACTTTTAAGTTACATCCCTTGCGGGGATCGAACCCGCGACCTTTGGATTAGAAGTCCAACGCGCTATCCTCTGCGCCAAAGGGACAGGTGGTGGACGCCTCGCCAATGACTCATACAAGCCAAGGGGAGTTTTGGCAGCTGCAAAATGTATAAAACACTTTCACGCATCTTTATTTAATTAACGAGTACAACAACTTATCCATTGATCTGTCATTAAAGTGTTTAGAACAGCTTTTGTTCTTGCTTTAGAACTTTTGGGTGCTCAACTGCTACTTGGGCGATGCGAAACTCATAGCCTCGGTGGCGCAGTTGGCAGCGCGTAAGTCTCATAATCTTAAGGTCGTGAGTTCGAGCCTCACCCGGGGCATGTACATTTTTTTCCTGTTTTTTTGTTCTTTAATTAGAAAAGGTTTTTTTTTCGTATTATTATTTTATTTTACCTAATTAGTTTATCTTTTTAAATTATATTAAAAGCTTTGATTATATTTTTACTATTTTTCTTTATTTTATGTTCTGACAATATTTCATTTATTATTTTTAAAATCATTATATCATTATATTATATTAAAAAATCATAAAGTAAATTCAGAGCTTGTCTAGTGAGATGGCGGCATGTTTTGGAGCTTATTATTTTCCCATGCGCTGAATGGACCACTCCTGCTGGCACAGTGGGCAACGATTGTTCTGTTTCACCCACAAGGACATGCAACAGTGGTGGAAGGAGTGATTGCATTCACCCCAAACTACAACACAGTCCTGGCGGCCCATCACATCTCGCTTGTTGTCCGCCTGGCAGCGAAGGCAGGAATCTAAAAAATATAAATTTATATATTGGCATATATATATATATATATCAAAATATTTATTTAAGTAAGTTCAATGTATTTTTAGAGTAAGTTTTGAATATTAAAACTCTCGACTTTTATAGCTTAAAACTTTATTACCTTAGTTTTTTATTTATTTAATATTTTATTGATTAGCTTTTCATCTTTTTGAGCAGTGCATTTCAAAACGAACCACGTTATATGATAAACTGCATTTTTTCCACAAAATCTCTTAATTGAATCAATGAGTTGGGGGTCAAAAGTTCAGGTGCCTTTTGGATGACACTTTTAAACTAGAAATAGATTCCACACGCTATAGATACATATACATATGCATAAAGTGCACTAAGAGTGCCACAAGTGCACTTGGCAAAACGCGTCACTGGCGACTTTGAGCCACAATTAGCTGCAAAAAAACGGCAACGCTAACAAATCTCTGATTGTGACGCAAATCTTCAACACCAGCGTAATTTCCTGTGAATATTCTTTACATATATTACAACCGAAAAAAAAACAAGATAACAAGCTATTGAAAATGTCCTCCGATTGCAGTTATTCGATATTTGGAATATCAGCAACGGAAATGCCTTCATTCAGTAAAATATTCACACCAAAATCGGCAAAATTTTGTTCATTCAACAAAAGGTGAAGCCACTAAAATAAATCACAAATCAGCGAGAGAGCCTTCTTCCCCCGCGCCGCTTCTTTTTTCGATTTCAGTTTATATTTTAGGTTGTTTGTTGTTGTTCGTGGGAGAGGTCACTGTACTGGTCGGCCCCGTATTTGGAACGCATCGGTTTTCAGTGGCGACAAAAATTTTTCTCAGAACACCGCCCCAAAATTCGCCAAGTCAAGGCAAAAAAAAATATAAAATTGTTTAATCAGTGTGGCTTTATTTTATTATTTTTACACGGAGACAAGTTTGAAAATATATATAAATATATATATATATATATATATATATATATATATATATACATATATATTATTCTATATTTGAATTTTCAAGGATAATAAAAGGTTTTAGAAAGGTGTTGCATACTTTTAGATGTTACATATGGGGGTTACAAAGGAGTACCTTAAAAAATTCATTAAACATATTTTTTAGGGTCTATTTTATCAGTATATATTCAATTTTAAAAACATAAATACATTTTAGACGAGTTTCCATCAGTTTTAAAAATAAAAACAAACTTTTAAACGCCATCCACACTGATTATAATGTAGAAAAACCAAAAACCTCAGATTTCATCAATTAGAAACATCTATAAAGCGTATAAATATTGTCTTTCATGTCTCCAAAAACTTTATAATTCATAAAAATTATCATATTTCCAATCAAATATACCAACCCTATAATTTTCCTACGTGCAATGGGCATCACCTGAGCCGCTTGGGATACCTGGTGCAGGTGGCGGTGTTGACATTTCGAAATACGAGCGCGTCGGCAGAAATTTACAATACACCTTCGAAAAATGACAATCAACAGAACAAGCAGGTAAATGCGTCGTCGTCGTCGTTGGACGGCATCACGTATACGCCGCTTTGGCTGGCGTTGCAACGGTGAAACATTCTGCTGACCGAAGCAACATAAAAACAGTGATAAAAATATATATTTAACAAGCGAATCATACACCCAGCATGAGTCAAGGAATTATGTTTTTGTTTTCTGGTGTGAAAATCACCTCACAATTTCCCCATTTTTAGCACTTTTGTGTAAGCGAAAACCACAAAATAAAAAAATAAAATCGATCGACAACAGGAAATTGTTAATATATATTTTCCAAGAATTGAAAGCAGGATTTTGGTGTAATTGAAGTAGAAGTCAATAGCCATTGAGGGCGGACCCTGACGTTAATCCATGGGTGTTAAACGCGTTATGCTTGACTTTCAGGTTTTATTATATATATATTTTTTTAACGTGGGTTTAATGGTCTTTGAACTAGTCAGAGGTTACAAAAGAAATTACGTAGTTTAAAATTGGTAAAGTGGGTTAATCAAACACGCTTTGGAAATTGTTTTTTAATTGTTTTTAAATATAGGAATAAATATGTATCTGATATTAAGGTTCATTCTGGGTTGTTTGAGTTTTGTTGAGTAATTTTTTATAAATTTAGACAAAGGTTTTTGGTTCATTCAAGCAAAATGGTTTTGCTAGGCTGGCAAGGCATTGTTTTTCTGTCGCTCTTATGGCAGGTTTCCTTGGTAAGATAAACTATTTCTTTTAAATTTCTTTAATATTTTTTTAAGCTTTTTTTACAGGGCACTAAAATCCTCAAGTTCACCAATGTCAAGTGCATGGATTTGCCCACCTCTAGGGGCTTTACCAAGTATGAATACTGTCGCCTAAAGGTGGTTAATAGAAATCAGGTGGAGCTTTCCCTGAAGGTCAGCCTCAAGCAGCTTCCCATTAAAAATTTGACTGCCAGATTGCAATGTTTTCAACGACGTGATGGCTATAGACCCTTTATGTACAATATTTTATTTGATTTCTGCAAACTAATGGCGAGCAGTAACTACCAGTTGTCCTTTGAGCGGTTTATATTTGATGCCATAAGGAAGCAAAGCAACTTTAATCAAAGTTGTCCTTGGAAGGAGGTGAGTTTGGGGAGTTTTATAGATTTTTTATAGATTTATATTTATATATTTTTAAAAGTATTATTTATTTAAACTTCCATTTTTTCAGAACCACATGACTGTAGAGAAGTTTGCCCTGGATTTCAGCAAGATCAATATGCCAGTGCCGGCGGGCACATACCGCTTGGATTTCACCTTTTACGCCTACGGCATTGCCCGCACATTGACACAGGTGTTTTTCGAGAAAGGGGAGTAGTAGTTGAGACGTAGCGTCACAGACTTGGTTTCTTAATTTCGTTCCGTTTAAAAAGCGCCCTAGATTGCGTAAGTTAAAAAAAAAAGATACAAAAGAAAAATATATCTATACTTGATGAAATGGCATCGCTGTTTTTAATTCGTCTAGATTCGTAATAGAAGTACAGACAGAAGAGTCAATCGAGTCAATAAACAATTACGGGAACGATGGAAAATTTTCCCTATTGCTTTTTTTTTAGAGGGCTCGGCCTAGGCTTGCCGGAGAAAATTCTCGTAGAATAATCGATCAAGCCTCCAGTTTTCATTTAAATAAATAAAAGTGTATGGCAATTTGATTCATTTAGGTGGAAGCGCGGCTAGTGGAAAGATATATACTGCGTCATTGCAAAAATCTTTCAAGTTCTCTCCTATATAATATATATATATATATATTCCTCGAGTTCAATTGCCATCGTTTAGGGAGAGCTTTGGGCGGGAAGAGTCGTCTGGGCATCAAGTCAGGAGGATCGGTATTTGACTACGTTTATGGGGAATATATATACATATGCATTAGGCAAATCGCAAATCAGACGACAGACGATTTAATTGCACAATGTTGACTCGAACGAAACGTGACAATGACGCCCAGAGCTCAGCCGATCTCAGTCGGCGGCCTCACCTGACTTTTGCCAGACGGAAGCTGTGGGCCGGGTTGCCCGGTTTACCTGGCGATCTTAAGTTATGCGAAGGCTGGGAATAATCTAGATTCTAGAAAAATGTGTACTTAAGAGTATAACCCTTACTTTGGTGATATTATTTCATTATACATTTTATGTTCTTTTGGTGCATAAAGTACAACATATTTTATGTACAATTTAATTTATATATTCAAATTTAAATTAAAAATGTAATAATATTATTTTACAAAAATTTATATTTTGGAATACCTTAGAATAGGTACAATAGGTTTAAGGTACAATTTTATAGTATTAATTTTTTTTTTAAATAAAAAAATATTATTTACAACCCAATTGAATGCAAAGTAGATTTTGACCAAGTTTAATTAATTTTTAATCAGGCTTATAATTTATTTTTGGTTGGTTTAATAGGTTTAAAAAGGTACAACATTGAAAGATAAAGTCTAAATTATTACAAATATTCCTTATTATCCATTATAAACCGGATAATCATTCATTATTCCATATTCCACATTCCCTAAAAATTAATATAGTGTATCTCCCCCCCAACGACAAAACCAGTCCGAATTCCAGAATAGCTGATAAAAATCCTTAACATCGTTAACACTTGGTGAGCAACCCAGGTCTGCCGATACAAGTCGACAGCTTGGGGACAGACGACTGATTAAAATTCCAGTTTAATGCTCGATCGCCAGACTATATAGACGGGGTAATCGTATCGGATCGGAATTGAATCGGATTTGAATGGAATTGGATCGGAATTGGTATGCAAATGCCATATGTCTGGGGCGTTATGTAAGTAAGTTCAAGGCTGACAAGGGCATTAGCGAATCCGTCTGGGATCTAGGGGAGGGACTAAATATAGATCGTACTTTATAGATAAAGAATATATTATATATCATGGCGGGTACCCGTCAAATCTAGCACCTGCAACCTGTGTGGAGTTTCCACCTCAACGGCTTTTTATCGGGGCCTTAATACCTGCGTGTGTCTGCGTCTTATCGCTGCTGCACTTCGTCGATATTGGTCACATGAATATATTTTAATATTTATCAATCTTTGTTTTTTTTTTAGTTCATTTCGCGTGTCACGTTGCATGTGCTGCTATCTTTGTTGTTCTTTTATATACCTATCTTGCTCTATCAACTCGTTTCGCATTTTGTTGTAACAGTCTGCTTACGTGACGTCATGCATGGGGGCTTGTCGTCCAGCAGCCAACAGCAAACAAAAAGTACAACAAAAAAAAAATATATATATATGTTTGTATATATATACAAATATAAGGCGAACGTGCCCCCAAAACCCGCTCTTCAATTCTTCAGTCTCTCGCTCTTCACAGTTTCATTCTCTCTTTTCTGCTAGCACAGCAAAACGATCCTCTCTTAAGTGCATCCTCCCGTTATATGAGATGTTTGGGTGCTTCGAGTACTTTCGATGCTCTTTTTTTGGGTTTGCAAAAATTATTAAAATGTAATTAATAAATATGAATTTGCAGCTTTACAATAATCCTTTATTAGTTTTTTTAATCTATTAAATTTAAGACTTTTTTTAAATTAATATAATAAGCTATATATTTTATTCAAAGAAGTTTATTTATTGTTAATAAATTTTTTCCTGAAAAGATCAATAAATTATATTAAAAATAATTATCAAAATGCCAGTGATCACTTCTTACAATTGTATGAATGATCAGTATTATTATTATTTACAGTAAAAAATGTTATTGATTTATAAATCTTCAAACTTTTCTCAACTATGCACTTAGGAAATTTCCCACTTTTCTTGGAAACTTTGTGTGGGTGATATTTTTTCCTTTTCTTTTATTTTTACCGATATTCATAATTTGCTTATATCTTCCGGCTTTAGATCACATTGCCATATCGCTTCGTGGAAAGTCGCACATGTGACCGAACTGAAGGTGCGAATGTTAGTGATTAAATGTTAATTTTCGGAGAGATGTCGGGGCAATGGCTGTGTGAGTAAAATAATTCAGGCATTTAGAAGAAATTAACAAGGCGTGAGCAAAGGAATAATGCCAAACGAGAGCTCAGTACAAAAATGAAGATAAATATTTTTCTTACAGTTCTAATCAGCCAATTAGTGGGTGATAGTTACTACGATTTAATCTTTTATGAACTTGGCAAATATATTGTCAAGGTTATTTTTTAACTTTTTATATGACTTTATACTTCTCAAGCAAAGAATTCGAAGAGCAAGTTGATAGGACTAATACTTTCATTGTAAACATTTTGTATTAATAAAATATTTAAATGTTTTTAAGAGATTTCTCCATTTACTATATTTTTTCATAATCTTATAATTCTCAAGTACCGAATCCGAAATCTCAGTAGACCAAACGCTCGCCCCCAGAAAGATCTTGAGAACTGCGAAAATTTCAGCAATGCACAAATACAAAAATTACACAGATACGGCTGGCAGCTGGCAAAAAACACATAACGTAGCATTTTCTAGCTTGTTCCACTTACGAGTGACCAATAACTGGCACATTCGGATACCAAAATACATATAGACGAATACAGATACGGTACATACATACATGACCGATCACATGTGCAAGAGATCGGAGAACGCTGGTGAGTGAGCGGTGCAAACTTGAAATTTATTCTCGAACGCAGAACCCAAGAATCGAAGGGGTATATCTCTCATTCTCTCGAGGGGGTTTACGAGACAAGAAAAAAAAGAGAAGCGAGGTGGAGGCACTTTCTCACAGACTCACACACTCGAAGATCATTGCAGTGGTTGGAATGGAAAATTTTGATTTTGTTTGTTGTCTCAGAGGAATTTTTTTTTGTTTTTTCAAAAAATCTCTGCACTCCTGCCTTGCATACTGACTCGGTAATTTTCCATGAAATTTTCCATTGGCCTTTAAATTTGGGACTCGCGAGCACTCACAGGGCAATGTGAGCCATATCATTCCCCAACAGATCTGCCTGCCTCTTGGTATGTGAGCTATCTGGATATAATTTTAAATCCGGATCCCGCTGACCTTGCTTCGAGTGGCACGCTTTACTTAAGGCATAAAAAAGGGTATAAAAGAAGGTCTCATGTGGAAGATTGAACCAAAGACCCAAAAAAAAAAAAAGGCAACGAAGGTTTGAAAAATAATTTAAAATAAGACAAATTTTTATGGTATAAGGATATGGACTAGGAAAAATAAAGCAAGAACTTAGTAAAGGATTAACCAGGGATTTATAAACATAAAATCAATTTAAGTCCTTGAATAATCTAGCTTATTAATATAACAAATTAATAAGAACAATATTTTTATAAATTTATCTATATTATGGTATATATCATTTTTCTATAATACCTATATATTCTTAATACCTTCAAACTCCGACCTATCACAAAAAAAATATATACTGATGAGATCAGCCTTAACCCACTGACAGCCTCGTGACATTCATTCGTCGTAGGAGTAAAAAGTATTTTTTTTTTTGGTAAATATTGACACCCGCTTGATCATCCCCATCATCATCATTCCGGGTTTGGGTTCAGTCTGGGTGCTCTGTTCTGGATGCCTGGGATATATATCTGTTTGCTGTCTCGTTGCTAGCTGGAATAAACTAATGTCAGGCATAATGGCCGTGTAATTGCACAGTTTAAAACTGTAACTGAATTATTACGGGGGGGGAGGGGGGTTCACCTTTTGTAACCGTAATAATCCAGGCCACACGACACAACGTAATTTTATGACATTTTTGCTATAGCTTTATATATATTAAGGGATTCTGGAGCTGCTTGCATGCATTCAAAATATTTGAATAAAATGCTGGTATTTGTGTGATAAGGTAAATAGGTAGTTAAGATATTACATAGCCCTGGTTTACTTAATTTGAAAATAAATAAAAGAGTTGTTAGGACTTACAGAAAATAGGGAAAACAAAATCTAAGTAGAAATAAAAATGTGGTAATGTTTAAAGGAGAGCGTTCAAGCTAAATAAATAATATACAATATTAAAAGGCTTAAATTAAATAAGTAAATTGTTGAAATTAGCAGAGAATTAAGGAAAAGCTATTTTAATACTTTTTTAATGAAAAATGTAAATGCTAAAAGCTATAAAAAGAGTTGTGGATTCAAAAAATCAACAAAACCGTTTCTAGATCCAAGAAAAAAATATAAAAAAAGACATATTAAATAAATTAGCTTCTAAAATTCTCGAAAAATAAAATAAAATTACTTAGTACTTTTTACAGGAAAAAGGTAAAGGTAATAAGAAGACTGTCAGTATCAAAGCTGTAATTAATATTATTTTAATTCAACTAGTTTAATTAAAATAATTGTTAGACTACGTATATTAAC